ACTTTCGTGTTCTCGGTCGCGCAGAGAACACGAAAGTACCCGAACCACCAATTCCGGTGCCCCACGAGCGGCGAAACCTTAACGGCCGGGCAGCCCCTCATCCACGGTATCGACCGACGTCCCGACGGCCCCAGACGCTGCCGCGGCTGGCGGGGATGAAGTCGGTCGGTCGGGTGATGGTATGGAACAGTCCCTCGCCTCTGTGGCGCTGCGGGCACCATGGATCACCACCGAGTCCTCGTTTGGGCGTGGCGCCATCCGAGCTCGACCGGGTGGAATCGACGATGTCGAGCTCCCCCGACGAACCCTTGGCACGAGACGATACCGGGGTCATGACAAACGACCCCCGCGGCTGCGACGGCTCGAAATCGAGCCGGAAGGGGTCGCGGGGCGCCATCGGGCCCCATTTAACCCACTCAATCTCTCCGTTCGAGTCGCCACGCAATCGTCCAGAGGTCGGGTCTTCGCATCCGATCGGAGTCCTCGTGCTCGCCATGGCCGCACAGTTCGGCTGGAAGTTCGTACAGTTTGACGTGCAGAAGGCATATTTGTTGACGACACCGCGGCACGGATACTACGTCAGGTACCCGGCCGGCTTAGACGGCGGGCGTCGCGCAGCAGCTCGCGTCGATCGAACTGCTCGATCCATACGCCCGCATGCGGCGGGGGAGCAGATGACCCAATTCCCCCAGCGTCATCCCCCTAGGGTACGAATCCTCGTATCCTCCTCCTCCTTAACCTAGCCTATAACGCCAGTGCTATGGTTCACCTCATCTGCTGCAACATCAAGGTGCAGTTCACTGAAGATGAAATTAGAAATCTATCTATCTCTCTAACAAATCAAACTAAATATAGCCAATATTTTCAAGGGTCCACATCGTGCATCGACGCGGGCAGCCTGAATGACGATGGGTGCGCCTCGTGCATGACGCTCTGCCAGCGACGCGCGACGCCGCATCGCCGGAGGAGGTGGCGCCGCTGGCCGACGACGAACCGCACACGTTCTCGCCCCTCGCGAACGAGGCCGTCGTCGGGACGCCCCTGGAGATCGCGGCGCCGCCGGGCGCGGCCGCGCCGCGAGACGACGGCGGCTACCGCGCGGATGTCGACGGCCTCCGCGCCGCGGCCGTCGCGGCGGTCGTCGCCTTCCACGTCGTACCCGGCCGGCTTCGCGGGCGTCGACGTGTTCTTCGTCATCTCCGGCTTCGTCGTCGCCGCGTCCGTCGACCGGAAGCTGTGGAAGGACCGTGGTGTTCGAGCGTTCCTCGGCGATTTCTACGCGCGGCGCGTGGGCCGCCTCGCGCCGGCGCTGGCTGTTGCGACGGCCGCCGGCGCGGTCGCGCTCGCCGCCGTTGGGAAGGGCGAGCCGCGGCTCGGCGAGTATTTCAACACGGGTCTCCTGGGCCTGGTGGGAGGCGCGAACGTCTTTTTGCTCTCAGTAGCGGAGCGCGACGAGAGACGCGAGGTCGAGGCGAGGGGCGGCGTCACCGACGACGCCGGCGGCTACTTCACGGACTACGGCGACGCGGACTGCACGCCGGCACCGCCTCGACCGCAACCCCTTCATGCACACGTGGTCCCTCGGCGTCGAGGAGCAGTTTTACGTGATCTTCCCGCTAATCGCCTTCGCGTCGCGCGGGCGGTTCTGGCCGCTCCTCGTTGTCGTCGTCGCGTCTGCGGCCTACGCGGCGACAGCAGAGGCGTCGATGGCCTTCTACCTCATGCCGGTGCGCTTCTGGGAGCTCGGCGCGGGCGTGCTCGCGTGGCACGCGCTCGATTCGCCGCGCTATCGCCGCGACGTGCTCCTGGCGCGCCTCGACCGCGCGGGCGCGCTCGTCGACGCGGCCGCGGGCCTGCTGCTCGTCCTAGCCGGCGTGTTTTCGCGACCGGGGCGCGGCTGGCCCTTCCCGGACGCCTGCCTCGCCGTCGCCGCGACGTTCGTCGCCGCGGGCGCCGCGGGGAAGGCGCGCGGGCGCTGCGGTTCGAGCCTCGCGCGGTGCGCGCGGCTGGGCGAGCTCAGCTACGGCATCTACCTCTGGCACTGGCCCATCCTCACAATTTGTTGCTACGCGGACGCGCCAAAGGCCGCGGCCGCGTGCGCGTGCGCCTTCGGCGCGCTCGCGGCGGCGGCGGCGTCCTACGCGACGCTCGAACGGGCCGTCTCCGGGCTCAGAAACCTGAGGACGAGGTGGCTCGCCGGCGCCGCGTGCGTGGCCCTCGCCGCCGCCGGCGCCGCAACAGCCGCCGCCGCGACGGGCGCCCACGGCCGAAGCTCCGGCGGCGGCGACGCGTATCCCTACTACGTACGCCTTCGCGTACAACGGGACCTGCGCCTGCGCCGCGGACTACTGCGCGCCGGGGGCCCAGAGCCTCGCGGACTGCGCCATCCCTCGCCGCGACGGCCCGCCTGCGGCGCGTTCCAAAGTCCCCAGCCCGAGATCGCCGCGGGCGTCCGCTTTGGGTCGTCCCTCGTGGCGAACGAGTGCGCCCCGGCGTCCCGCTCGCTTTACGGCCGGGGCGACCTACGGCGGCCCGCGGCCCGGCGCGGGTTTTGTGTGGGCGAGAGCGGATTGGGGTACTACCCAGACCCCTATTGATACACCACTAGGCTGCCTCCATATCCCGGAGTTTACTATCTCGTTACGTTGGCTACGACCCCGCGACGTTGGGCAGCGACTGGGCAGCCGTCTCGCGGGCGCGTCGATTCCATGGAAGCCGCCAACGCCACCCTCCCGCCAGTGACCAAAATTCAAGTTTCAACTCCTATAAAGGAACTTCACCCCCAGCCCTGACTCTAGGACTAGGGTAATAATTAGTCAGACTTCCTACTCTAGCCTGTAGGCTAGTGAGATCGAAGGGCTTTCCAAAGTGCTTTCGACGGAGGGGCAACACCGTTCAAGCACCATGGTAACCACCTTCAACCGCTGAGTGGGGTGGCTCCGCTTGGAGCACCTCCTGGCGACGTGGTCATTTTCTGCCAGCCTCCCCTCGGGAATTCGGTTTTAGGGAAATGGAGGTTCGTAAACCACGCCGTGCTTATTTCGCGAAATCGCCATCACGGCATTCACGACCGCGTATTCGTCTCGTAGGATCGCAGACAGAGCGCGAAGTGAGGCATCGGAGATGTTCGCATGGGGATGCTGCTCGCCAGCCTGCCCATACGGCGATACCCACTTCACGCGACTCGGGCTCTCGCTCACGGTCGAGTTTCGGAAGTTAGCACGGAAGGCTTCGAGGTCTTCGGTGAGCGACTCCTGCTGGGCGACCCAGATGTTCCTCAGTTTGTTCAAGACGCCGCCCACGTGCGAGCAATAATTGTGGCGCATGTGCTCCGCGTGCCTCTCGTGGAGCACGAGCATGTCATGGACCACGGACCAGCAGAAACCGGAGGACTCGCGCTCGTGGAACTCGACGAGCACCTCGAGCGTCGGCCGCGGAAAACATGCAGTGAGATGCGCGAATAGTTCCGCCCTCGAAATCTTCCCGTCCATATTTTTATCTTCCAACGATTTGAGTCCGTAATCGAGCGCGGACGAGAGCCGTGAAATGGGATCGCGAACGGTGACCAGCGTCTGCGAGAAGCTCGGTGCAGCCGCGACCTCGGGAAGCACTGCGTTGGTGTGTACTTGTTCGTAAGGAATGCCCGAATCTTTCAGAAACTGTTCGGTTGTGCTGCCGCCCGCCTTGCCAATGTGTATGAAGAGCACACGGCTGTCCCTAGACGGCCGTCGCCCGATAGCGCCGATTCCAGAATAACGTTCGTACACTCGTTTTTGAAAGGGACTTTTCGTTAGAAAATACGGATGGTATGATGGGTCCGCGGCGGCGATTCGCTGCTGCTCAAGTTCTTCGGCGCCACGCAGCCACTGCATGTAGCAGGTCGGACCTCGCTTTGTATTGATACGCGCGAAGCCAACGACTGCCAACGCTCCGAGTGTCGTTAAGAAATACAATGTCATGAAATGACGCGGAGGATAAGGAATGGTACGAGAGCTGCTCTGACCACATGGAAGCAAAACTAAACTCTGGCAGTCGATGTACACAAGCACATACTAACCCGCGGACTGAATTGAAGCCTTGGCTATTTTTCCTAAATTTATCTATCAAACTATATATAAAGTGCCTCATTATCGATAATGGTGGGCCGCGGATTGCGGCTCGGGCCCACGCGGCCGGCGGTCGCATTGGGGAGGCCTCAATCGACGGCTGTCCCCCGGAGCACCTTGCGCACGGCTTCGTCGGCGCAGCCCGGACCCTAACGTCCGCCGCGGATCATCGCCCGCCGACGCCAATTTCAACCATGAAGGCCATTCTCCGTGTGCCCCTCATCATCGTCACCTTTACCACGGCGGCAGATTCCGTCACGTCGATTGAATTCCCCGCCGAGAAGGGCGACGCGGTTTCTACGGACCTCGTGCAACCGACGGCGTGGGAAGCGAAGAGCAAGATCAGCGCGGTGCTCGAGCGCGAGGCAGCCGTTTTCGAGGATGTCGAAGGTCTCACAGACTCGGTGGTCGAAGGCCGCCAGCTCTCGGACGTGTGCGAGGACTCGACGACGTGGTACCAAGGGAGTCGCGAGGGCCGAACTTGCGCGTGGGTCCGCCAGAATCCCGCGAAACGCTGCGAGCTCGATCGCGCGGCCAACGTCGCCTGCCCCGTGACGTGCGACACCTGCCCTCGCCTCGACGCGAGCGCTGGCGATACAGGCTCCCGGCAGCGCCGCGCTGCTTCCGCGCAACATCGCGGAGCCCGCTTTGAGTATCGCGCCTTCCCGACGTGGGACGCGTACTACGCGTGGCGCGACTCGCAGAGTGAATGGCAACCCATCCACCCCTGCGTCCCGGATCGCGAATCCTACAAATGCCTCCCGAGCCTCCTAGTCATCGGCGCGTTCAAGGGCGGGACGACGGCCCTCCGCTTCAAGCTCCTCGCGTCGAAGCAGTTCTTCGGGCCGACCGGAGAACATCACTACTTTGCCGAGGAGGAAAAGTCGGTGACCGTTCCGCGCGCGGTGGAAGCTGCGAGGTACGCGATGACCGTGCCCAGGGCCGTATTTTTGAGGAACGAATTCGTGGTCTTCGAGGACAATCCGCGCTACGTGGACACGCTCAACACGCACGAGCTCGAGTTCATCAGGAAAGTGATCCCCGACGCGCTGATGCTCCTCCTCGCGCGACCCGGCGCCGACGTCTGGTTCTCGGCGCTCGAAATGAGCGCCGACGACTACCGAGACTGTTCTCCGCTCCTCCCCTACGGTGATCGCTACTGCGACGTCGGAGCCGTTCGTGCCGCCGCCGACGCGCGCCAGATTCTCGACGAGGGCTCTCAACGCGCGGCGGCGATGGAGCGGGACTGGGCGCGCGGGGACGTGATCAGTCTGCGCGAGCGGGCGGGCGTCTACGTCGCCAAGGGCGGCTACTTCTACGCTCTGCGCCACCTCTGGCACACCTGGCCGCGCGAACAGACGCTCGTCCTCGAATCGGCGGCCGTGTGGGCGCGACCGCGCGAGAGCTACGACGCCCTGGCCCACGCACTTGGGCTGAACTTCACCATCAGCCTCGTCGAGGACACGAGGACGCGCCCCGATCGCCAGGACGACCCAAAGTGCCCAAAAGCCAAAGTCCAGGCTATGAAGCGGCTCGTATCCGAGTGCGACCTGAAGATGCCGTACCGCTGCGCATGGTACTCGGCGAACGTACTTCTGGCAGAGCTCCTGAACGAGTCCTGGCCAATCGCCTGGAATGATGGTGTCAACGCGTCGACGTGCGCGCGCTTCAACTTCACGGCCGCGGACCTACGAGCCCGATTCTCGGCGAACGCCTCGCAGGTCGCGACGGCCGGCGCCGGTGGAGCCACGGCCTCGTCGCACGAATACCGGAGGTCCGACGTCGCCTTCGCCGTCAAAGTCCACCGGCGCACGGCGCCCGCAAAGGCCCTCGGATCGTGGTCCCGTGCCGACCCCACCCGGGATTGGCTCACAACGGGCCACACGAGCGAGCACAAGGCGTGTCTGAATCGCGAGCGCCAGGGAAACTGCTACGAGAATGGCGGGCAGGGGCGAGCGCAGGGAGACGCGAGTTCGCGGTACGCCTTCATTCATCGAGCGGGCTCGGACCTGAGGAACAGCCCGGGCGCCCTCGCCGGCCGCGTGGACTACGCGTGGCGCGTCAACACCGGATCCGCGGCGACAGAGCATCTGTATCGGGAGTGGTCCGATCCGCGCGCTGCGCTCGTGCGAGGGCTCGAGCGCGTCCTCGGCACCGATGGACGCGTCGTCGTTCTGGGCGACTCGCTCTCGCGTCAGTTTGCCAAGACCCTCGAGTGCACGCTGGAGTACAAGCTCAACATGACGCATCGCGTCGTTCACAGGGATTGGGGTACAGGGGGGAAGATCGGCTTCCTTCCCCGACCGTCGGACGTCCTGGTGCTCAACTTCGGGCACTGGCTCGACCACGGCGAGGGGGACCCCACTCACGCTACTCAGAAGTCGCGTTGGGCACTCGCCTTCGAGGACCTCGAGGAGAAAAAGGTCGCCGTCGATCGCGTTTTTGTGCGCACCACGCAAGTCCGATTCGTGCGACGAGATAGTCCCGGCGAGTGGAACACGACGGGGGGCATGCTCTGCGGCGGGACTGCACCGAACGCGGCGGCCGGCGTCGACTTCTCTCGGTCGATCGGGCTGTTACGATTCCGCACCGCAGGCATCGGCCTCCTGGTCCACCTTTGGGGGTCAATCACACTCCCTCCCCGAGCAGAACTTGGTCCTTCTCGAGCTCGTCGACGCGCGCCGCCGCGTCTCGGAGTTCCGACCCGCCTCGACCGTTGTTTGTGCAGGCCACACCGTACCAGCTCTTCGACGTCGCCCCGGTCGCTCTCTCGCGCGCCGACCTGACTTTCGACTGTTCCCACGACTGCCTCCCCGGGGTGCAGGACACCTGGGCCAGTCTCCTGTTCCAGCGCATGGTCGGCGAGCTATGAGTGACCCTCCCGATTCAGAGTCGGAATCGAGGCTGATTTTACTTTCTAACCGAAAGTGAACTAACAAGGCCTTGGCGATTATTTTTTCCCGGCCCGGCAAGGGTTAGGAGATTCTTTTCGATGCGCACGTTGTACTATGATGTTGGGCTCCGGCCACGCGGAGGGACCCCCAGCAGACCTCGATTTTGATGAGGTCCATGGCCGCGTTTAAAGGACCGTTGTTCCGTCGAAACACCCCGATTCTGCGTCGATTCCGCCTCCTTTGGGGCATTTTCACTGAAACCCCGGGGAATTGTTAGCATATCCCGCCGGCGGGATATGTTAAACACCGCTTCAACTTGGGCTCGAACCGCAGCGCCCGCGCGCCTTAACCGCGGCGCCCGCAGCGACGAATGCCGCCGCGCCGGCGACGGCGAGGCAGGCGCCCGGGAAGGGCCAGCCGCGCCCCGGTCGCGACAGGCCCGCGGCCGCGTCGACGAGCGCGCCCGCGCGGTCGAGGCGCGCCAGGAGCGCGTCGCGGCGGCAGCGCGGCGACTCGAGCGCGTGCCACGCGAGTACGCCCGTGCCGAGCTCCCAGAAGCGCGCCGGCATGAGGTAGAAGGCCATCGACGCCTCTGCCGTCGCCGCGTAGGCCGCAGATGCGACGACGACAACGAGGAGCGGCCACTCCGCCCGCTCGATTTGCGGCAAGATCACGTAAAACTGCTCCTCGACGCCGAGGGACCACGTGTGCATGAAGGGGTTGCGATCGAGGCTGTGCCGGCGTGCAGTCCGCGTCGCCGTAGTCCGTGAAGTAGCCGCCGGCGTCGTCGGTGACGCCTCCCGTCGCCTCGACCTCGCGTTTCTCGTCGCGCTCCGCTACTGAGAGCCAAAAGACGCTCGCGCCTCCCACCAGGCCCAGGAGACCCGTGTTGAAATACTCGCCGAGCCGCGGCTCGCCCTTCCCAACGGCGGCGAGCGCGACCGCGCCGGCGGCCGTCGCAACAGCCAGCGCCGGCGCGAGGCGGCCCACGCGCCACGCGTAGAATTCGCCGGCTCGAACACCACGGTCCTTCCGCAGCTTCCGGTCGACGGACGCGGCCACGACGAAGCCGGAGATCACGAAGAACACGTCGACGCCCGCGAAGCCGGCCGGGTACGACGTGGAAGGCGACGACCGCCGCTACGGCCGCGGCGCGGAGGCCGTCGACATCCGCGCGGTAGCCGCCGTCGTCTCGCGGCGTGGCCGCGCCCGGCGGCGCCGTGATCTCCAGGGGCGTCCCGACGACGGCCTCGTTCGCGAGGGGCGAGAACGTGTGCGGTTCGTCGTCGGCCAGCGGCGCCACCTCCTCCGGCGATACGGCGTCGCGCGTCGCTGGCAGAGCGTCATGCATGAGGCGCACCCATCGTCTCATTCATGTAGGCTGCCCGCATCGATGTGGACATCTTCGTGCAACTATACTTGGGTATTTAGTTTGATTTATTTATTTGTTTACTTCCCGCGCAGGAATCCTAGATCAGTGCCTGGCCGCGGCATCAGCTTCGTAAGTCTTTAGGTTTCAAACGCCAGACAGCTGATGCATGTCTCTACCAGTTCACTGAGGTGGTTAAAGGAGAGACTAAATTTGTTATGCTGACCTTGTCAGTTGATGATCTTCTCATCACTGGTGATCACACTGAAAAGACTGAATCGTTGTGCAAAGAATATAGTAGAAAGTTAGGATAGTTTACTAGCCTCCTAACGTCGCTATGACGTCAGTCAAACTACTATCCAGCAGGTGCACTGTCCGGCGACTGTGCAACCTCGCTGAGCCTGGTGTTACCTGGCACGTCGCTGTGACGCTAACCATGAAACGCCTTGGTCGATTCTTTATGCGACTAAGTGAGCACCGATCATTTACATTCAAAATGGCTTGCAGCATCTTTTCTGCAATGATTTCCTCCTTCGGACATGGTATGTCAGCGATATGTTCGACCATGAGATCGGACAATTGTTGGGATGCTTCCATCATGCCTAGTAGTTGGAATTTGTCGCGGTACCCTGGAACACATTGGGTGGTAATCCGCCGCGCAGCCTCAGAGTAATCATTGGTGGGGCATCCTGCGCTGGTGAAGAAGGAGACGTAAGTGTCATCAGGATCTGCAAGACTTTGTCACCATCCTTGAACGTGGAGAATGAGTCTGTGACGAGTAGCTTAGGTGCTATACCGTACTCAAGCTTCATCTGGTTGTAGACCTTAACGATGGCGTTGATGAAGTGATCAGCGTTAAGTCTCTTCATGCCTATGTCTATTACCACCTGGGCCGCTAGCACTCCAAGTCGTCATTGGGGGCTATAGATATAGATCCGCTTCGAAGCCCTTGGAGTGGACGTGGTGAGCACCATGGGCAAGGGCGGGCAGGTTCCGCAGCGGGCGAGCGACTTTCAGAGCGAGCTGTGCTCGCCGGGGCCCGTGGCGGCGAAGCTCGGCAGGGCTGCCCCCCCGGCCGCGCGGGACCCGCTGCTTGCGGCCGTCCCCCGGGAGGTGTACATGGACGCGGCGTCGAACGTGCCCTCAGCGAGCTACTACAAGGACCTCAACGACAAGGTCGCGGACATCCTCGAGCGGCAGCGGACGGGGGCCAAGACCGCGCCGCCGATCGAGCTTTCGCACGTCGTCGCGGCGGACGGCGCCCTGGTCTACCCGAACCGCTACCTCTGGATGGTCTGGGTCTACAGCGCCGTCGCGATCTACCTGATCTGCCAGGCGCCGAGCCCCGCGGTCGTCCTGCTCGGCGTCCCCGCCATGTACCTCTGCTACGACGTCTACTCGGGAGTCACGCACGTCAATTTGGACGACCAGCGGAACTTGGCGGGCCTCAAATCGTACATCCTGTTCCAGGGCTGCCTCGAGTTCCAGTGGCACCACGCCATCCCCGTCGACATCACGAAGAAGTCCTTCGTCGCCTGCTGCGCCGACCTGAACATCATCGTCGCCGTCTCGGTCGTGATCAACTGCGTCGCGCTCCGCTACACGACCGGCACCGCCGCCGCACTCACGGGCCTCAAGCTCTTCGGCGCCTACTTTGGCCAGTACTGCCACCGCTCCGCCCACACGCCCAAGAGCAAGCGCCCCCGCGTCGCCCAGTACCTCATGGACAAGGGTTTCATGTGCCCCCAGAACAAGCATCTCGGCCACCACAAGCCGCCGCACGACGCGAACTTTTGCCTCGTCGGCTACTGCGACGGCATCATCAACGGCATGCTCAAACACTGCGGCACCAACGACTGGGTCTGGTTCGGCTTCTGGCTCGCCTTCTCCTTCGGCGACGTCTACGTCGTCAACAAGGTCCTCACCGCCGCCGCCCCCTCCGTCTTCGCCGCGTAGAGCCGGGGCCCTGCCTCGGGCCCAGCGCGTATGTTGTTGAAAGAGAAACGCCGCTTGTAAGCTGTGGTGTGCCGCGTTTTTATCAAAGTGCTAGTCCCAGACTGAGCAGGGTTGGGTCGTCGCGCGATGAACGAAAGGAAGGGCACGAAGGCCAAGAAGCAAGCGCGGGGCGCTCAAGTATCGAGAGGTGCGCGAGCTGCGGAGCAGCCACGCGCGTGGCGGGTAGCGACCGGGAGCCGGAAAACCAGAACACGCCGGAACGCGCCGGAACACGGCTCGTGCGGCTGAGCTTAACTAAAGGAAGCAGGGTAAACTCCCCCCGCAAGGGGGGGCTGAGCTCAATTGAACTAAGGAACGCCGGAAGTGAAGGCCGACGGACCGCACTTGGATGGCGCAGCCACCTCAGCCACAATCTCCCACCGTGACAAAGGGCAAGACTTGAACCACCGTGGTCAACGCCGGAAAGTTTACTTATGGGGCGATGGTCGGCATGTTTGGTGGTACGAACCGACTTTTCGTGGAAGAAGACGGTGCCGGTAGGGCCATGTAAAACGCAGCTCCTTGATGTGCGTGCGCCTCTAGTCGTTCTTCTTCTTCGTCGCGACGTAGGTGCCGGAGGAGCCGATGGCGATGAGCAAGACGAGGGGGGCAAAGGAGCCGTAGTAGCGCAGGTTGTTGTTCGAAGGGAGGCCGTCGTTGAAGACGACGCTCGCGAGGATGCCGACCATGTCGCCGATGCCGTACTCCGTCCCCGCGTCGAAGAAGATCGAGTGCTGGTTGCAGATCACCCGAGAGAAGTAGGAGTGGAACCAGCCGTGGCGCTTGTGCCAGAAACCCCAGGTGACGTGGCCCGGGATGTGCGAGGGGATGTCCGTGGGCTTGTCGGGCTTCGGCGGCCGGTCGAA